GAGACTTTTCATGGTTCTCCAGCTTTAATGACTTCCTCCAGGAGCTTTCTGACTGGCTTCCAGAGACGCTGCGGGAGGGCAGCCTTTGTCCCCGGCCTTGGCCTTGTGCCAGGGTCACAATCAACGTCTCTGTGTCTCTTCAGTCGGGGATTACTTCTCCTTTTATTCTAGGAAATGGTATTTGGAAGCTACAACAGGATGTCCTGCTGGCTCGGCTGGACTGGGAACCATTTCTCCGCCCTCCTGCAAACCCTTAAGATCTGTTCGCTTTGCCTTTATTCCCATAAAGTGCTTCAGTTAAACCAAAAGTAATTTCTTTTAAAACCACTTTAGAGTACCATCTGGTTCCTGAAGGTGGAACTTTTTCTAGATAGCTTGCTAAATATGAGGCTTTGTGTCTAATTTATTAGAATATTTTGCAGTTTTAAGCTCAAATTAATCCGTTACTCTTGTCTAGAGCCACAGGAACTTGCTGGAAACTAAATACGAAAGTTGGATTTTTTATTTTGTGAATAAAGCCAAACATTTAGGTGGAAAACTAATCTACTGAAAGTTATCTTCCACATTTATAAATCCGGCCTTTGCTCAGGTGCTGGAAGAAAAAAGCTCGTTTACAGCAATATGGGGAAAATGTTTAAATCCTGAAATAACTTTATTAAACGGACAAAGGAGAAAGATTTCTATCAGAAGATGATCTGTAAATGTCCATAGATTTAATATCTTAATAATATTAATAATAAAAGACAAACAATATGAATAACTTTTTCTATATTTTTTCCAGCAACAGATACTTAAAAAAGTAAACTCAATAACATGCAACAGAATGTTGATACACGAAAAACGTAAACTTTTACACTACCGTTTAACAGTTTGGGGTCACCCAAACAATTTAGTTTTTTCCTGAAAAGTCATACTTATTCACCACCATATGTTGTGAAATGAATAGAAAATAGAGTCAAGACATTGACAAGGTTAGAAATAATGATTTGTATTTGAAATAAGATTTTTTTTTTTACATCAAACTTTGCTTTCGTCAAAGAATCCCCCATTTGCAGCAATTCCAGCATTGCATACCTTTGGCATTCTAGCTGTTCATTTGTTGAGGTAATCTGGAGAAATTGCCCCCCACGCTTCTAGAAGCAGCTCCCACCAGTTGGATTGGTTGGATGGGCACTTCTAGCGTCCCATACGGTCAAGCTGCTCCCACAGCAGCTCAATGGGGTTCAGATCTGGTGACTGCGCTGGCCACTCCATTACCCATAGAATACCAGCTGCACAATTTGGAGGTGTGTGTAGGGTCATTGTCCTGTTGTAGGATGAAATTGTCTCCAATCAAGCGCTGTCCACTGGGTTGCAAAATGGAGTGATAGCCTTCCTTATTCAGAATCCCTTTTACCCTGTACAAATCTCCCACCTTACCAGCACCAAAGCAACCCCAGACCATCACATTACCTCCACCGTGCTTAACAGATGGCGTCAGGCATTCTTCCAGCATCTTTTCATTTGTTCTGCGTCTCACAAACGTTCTTCTTTGTGATCCAAACACCTCAAGCTTGGATTCATCCGTCCACAACACCTCTTTCCAGTCTTCCTCTATCCAATGTCTGTGTTCTTTTGCCCATCTTAATCTTTTTATTTTATTGGCCAGTCTCAGATATGGCTTTTTCTTTGCCACTCTGCCCTGAAGCCCAGAATCCGGCAGCCGCCTCTTCACTGTAGATGTTGACACTGGTGTTTTGCAGGTACTATTTAATAAAGATGCCAGTTGGGGACCTGTGAGGCGTCTGTTTCTCAAACTAGAGACTCTAATGTACTTATCTTCTTGCTCAGTTGTGCAACGCGGCTTCCCACTTCTTTTTCTACTCTGGTTAGAGCCTGTTTGTTCTGTCCTCTGAAGGGAGCAGTACACACCGTTGTAGGAAATCTTCAATTTCTTAGCAATTTCTCGCCTGGAATAGCCTTTATTTCTAAGAACAACAATAGACTGTCGAGTTTCAGATGAAAGTTCTCTTTTTCTGGCCATTTTGAGCGTTTAATTGACCCCACAAATGTGATGCTCCAGAAACTGAATCTGCTCAAAGGAAGGTCAGTTTTGTAGCTTCTGTAATGAGCTAAACTGTTTTCAGATGTGTGAACATGATTGCACAAGGGTTTTCTAATCATCAATCAGCCTTCTGAGCCAATGAGCAAACACATTGTACCATTAGAACACTGGAGTGATAGTTGCTGGAAATGGGCCTATATACACCTATGTAGAAATTGCACCAAAAACCAGACATTTGCAGCTAGAATAGTCATTTACCACATTAGCAATGTATAGAGTGTATTTCTTTAAAGTTAAGTCTAGTTTAAAGTGATCTTCATTGAAAAGTACAGAGCTTTTCCTTCAAAAATAAGGACATTTCAATGTGACCCCAAACCTTTGAACAGTAGTGTATATAGCTATTGTTGTGGCCATTTATGCTAATTTTTTATGTTAGTTTTCTTCTTTTGGTATGTAAAATATATCTAAGTTAATTTAGAACCAAAATTTGTAATTTATTTTTTTAGATTTGGAATTGTTTAGATTAGGTTGTTAGTTGTTAGACCCTCCCATTAATTTGAGTAATTAAGAACAGCTGCTGCTGGTGGATTTTACCGTTTTGTAAAATGATTTTTTGACCACTTTTTAAGCGCTTCAAACATTAAATATCATTATTTCTTTCTACTCAGTTGCAAGACATCTTTAGTAATTAGTTTGCCTTTGCTTTTACGATAAATAAGCCAAGTAGGAAGTACATGCATAGCCAAAACCACCTGTTACCACCCACTGACTTTCTTGAAAAATTTGGAGCAGAAGGCTGCAATATTTTACATTCATACATAAATATTTAAATGTTCATTTTAAGAATTAAATTATATATTTATTGTTAAAATGAAAAAAAAAAAAGTCACATTGTGTTATTTTATGATACATCCATGTACGTCTCAGCAACTTGCGACCCCTCCACTTTGTGTTTTTGCGACCCTGTGGGGGGCCTCGACCCTCACTTTGGGAACCCCTGCTTTAGAGAGAGTCTCTGAAGGTTCATTAAATGAGACTAGAGGCAAAAACATGACTGATGAAAAGCTTTAAATAAGGTGTTTGATTTTCAGTTTTGATTGTTTTCTGGTGTTTCTTTTTAAATTGTCAGTCTCTATTGGTTTTTTATAGGGATGCAGGATATAATCGGCCCCCTATCGGTATCGGCCTTAAAACTGAATATCGGACATCGGCCACCCCACCGATATTTAACCCGATATTTGATCAGCTTCTGAGTTTCTAAAGTCTAAAAAAAGAAAAAATACTACTTCTTCCTCAAAAACTTCTTTTTTACAGACTTAAAAACTTCTAAAGACGAGGGAAAAAATATTGATCCATTAAAATATCCCAATATCTTCATATGCTGATATATTGCCATTTAAAAACACCATATCAATCTCTTTTACTAATGAAATATTGCTATATGTCATCGTTATGCTACGAAATCCCCCGAAAATTCACGAAATGTTGCCATATTTTTATATGTTGATATATTGACGCGGTATCGATCTATTTTACTAACAAAATCTCACAAGAATTTGCAAAATATCACGAGAGTTTGTAACAGAACGATGAAATTTAACGAGATTTTGAAAGTAAAATAGATCGATACCGCGTTTTTAAAAATCAATTTGATATCAGCATATGAAAATATATTTGAGTATATTATTTTTCAAAGTGTCAGAAATGGATAACAAAACTGCTTTTTTCAATGACTACTTATTTTTGTCCAGCTTTAACATCGGTATCGATATCGGTTATCGGCTACATGAGTTTGAAAATATCGGCATATCGGATATCGGCCAAAATCCCAATATTGTGCATCCCTAGTTTTTTACCTTAAAAAATTCAAATAATTGGTCAATCTCAATTTAAAAAGAAACCTTCAGTCAGTCTGTCCCATTTTTGTTTCCTTAAAAAAATTTACACACACAAAAAAAAATCGTTTTTCATAAGGAAAAAAATACTGGTCAAAGTCTATTATTAAAAATGTTTTAAATTTTTTATGGTGGTCAGTTTCTCAACAGTGATATTGTACCATCAGTGATGCAGTCGCACGACTCCCGATTGCCATAATTAAACATAGATACAAAAATAAATGAAGGATTTAATAATATAAAATTGAACACGTAACAAAAAACCCACTTGTAATAAATACACAAACACAAAACAATGACGTCAATAAAATGTATATCAAAAAAAAAAGTGGGTGAAAAATCATAAGTCAGCATAAATGCAAAAATAAAAGTGGAAGTTCAAATATATCTTATTTAAATGAATAATTGATCAATTGTTGAAGAAATATCTTATTTTTATTGTTTTATCACATTTAATGGCACAAATTCATATTATTAGCTATTTTTCCAATCAATTTTATATGATCAAGTCCTTCATTTATTTCTATATGTATTTTTAATTATGGCAGGATTGGTGCTCCATACCCCCACATGCTAAATAAGGGTTTCTAAAACCTACGTTCCAAGATGAACTCTGAGTTTCTTTTACAGTTATCTCAATATTTCAGTTTGTAGCATATTTGCTACATTAGGCCATTGTGCTAATGCTAAGTCCTAACAGCGCTGAAAAGAAACAAGGACTAATTTTCTTTAGTAAACTGAGTTAATTTGTTTAAGAGTTTTCACTAATCTTCATAAAAACATGCTGGGATATAAATGGCAGGTTATTGTTGACTAAAATGTAACTAATATCCGTTTTTAAAATTTAATGTTATTCATTTTCCATTGATAATATTTACTAGTTTTATTATCGTCACTTTTGAACATTATGCATCTTTTTGCAAATATGTTTTGCTCAATAGTTAAAGTAGTGATTTAATCTTGCGTCGACCTAAAAGGCCAAAAACATTTTAATATATAAATGTATGTACATTTATACTGAATAGAAAAAAACCTGTCGGTGCAAATCAATGAAAAGCATGTTTGTTTTTCTGCACATCATACAAAACATTTATTTTTTCCCCAAAAATACAGAAGAAAAGCCAAAGAAAGAGCGCCGGGATGAGAAAAAAGACCCTCCTCCTCATCTTCAGTTAATCGAGCAGGCAAATGTAAGACGATCCCGTTTGAAAACAAAAGCTAAACTTTTAAAATAAATAAAAATGAATGTTTTTTTTTTCCTCACAGCCATTCCTGTGCTGATGTCTAGACGGCATGAAGGGAGTTTCTCCTCCCTTTCTTCCTACTTCCTGGATGGAAGAAAGTCTCTAACGAGCGATAAATGACGAGGATTTCAACACAGACCCAGAGGATGGAATATTCCAGAAGTACCTGCTGCAGCAGAGGATTCCTATACTTAACATAAGTAAAAACATTTGTTTGGACATTTTTCTGGTTTGTTTCTTAGCCATAAATTCAATAAGCTTCTGAAAAACTTTTACTTTGAATGATTTAAATGAGCTGCTGGGGGGGGGGGATCGGAGCTGCAGAGACGATTCGCTCAGTTTCTCAGAGTCGACTCGGCTGCAGAAACAAGCGGTAGTTTCCTGACCTCGTCAGAAATTCCTGCCCCTCCAAGTGCTTCCGCAGTCTCATCCTCGTCCTGAACTCGCACGTGTCTCCGAAATCAACTCAATAAATAAGACGTTAGCGTTGTAAGGCAATGCTGAGCAAACGTTTGGTGAACATTCACGCTCCTCCGCTCGGGGTTCAAGACCTTCCAGGTGATCTCCTGATGGACGGGGCTCGGCCTCCTCGGGGCCGCTCGGCGCGCCGCGCTCAGTGGAGGAGGAACGCAAACCTCTGGTTTCCTTCGGGAGGAGTCAAAGGTCGTAGCAGCACGGCCCCGCCCCGCACCTCAGGACAGTCCCGACGTTTCCAGGTAACTCTGCAGCTTCCGAACCGTGCTTCTGTCCAAGGAGCAGAGGTCAAAGTCAAAAGTAGTGTTGGTGATGTGGAAGTGCCCCGTCTCCTCGATGAGGTTCACGATCTGGAAAACCACAAGAAACAGCAGCTGAGCGCAGCAGGACTTGGTCGTTATTTTAACCGACCTGGAAGCCGATTGGCCGCTCACAAGAGGTGGAGAAAGTACTAAAATATCATACTCAAGTAAAAGTACCAATACTTGGATAAAATATTACTCAAGTACAAGTAAAATTACCCATCAGAAAAATTACTCAAGTAAAAGTAATAAGTAGCTAATTTAAAATGTATTTTAAGTAAAAGTTACTTAGTTACATTTAAAAAAAACAACTGTTGAACGGGGCAGGGGATCTCTCCCATGTAGTGAAAATAGTTCAAGGAGTCATAAATCCAAAACTATTATATAGATGAAAGTGCGCATTCAGCGTCTGCTGAATGCGCACTTCCGATAATGCAAGCGTAGAAGAAGAAATGTGCTGTTTACCTGTGCAAAGAAAGAAACAATGAAAGAAAAATGTCTGAGGACTTCAGTGTTGAGGAAGAGCATGAGTTCTTTGCTGAGCTGAATGCGCACTTTCATCTGGTTTGGTTCCGTAGACTCGTGAACGCGCTTTTAGGAAATCCTATACACTACTGTTTATGCTCTAAAAACATTCTAAATGACTTCGTTTCGAGTAAATTATGGATGCTACCCACTCAGGACACTTGGAATACATTGGACGAGCAGTATGGAGGAATATTGACACGTTTTTTGTGGACTTTTTTGGACCTTTCTGCCTCGGGCGCCATAGACCTCCATTATTTGAATGTCAGCAGGCAGCAAGAAGCCTCCCAGATCTCCAGATGCATTTGAGATATCAAAAAAGTACTCCAGAGTTTTGTTCAGCATGGGGGTGAGTAGAAAATGAAGGCTAATCATGTTTTGGGTGTACTATTCCTTTAACATAAACGGTTATAATGCAAATCGAGGCTAAATCACGTGTTTTGACTCCATAAATAACCAAAGTAGAACTAAAATCTCAGTGTCAGGGACATTTCAGAAAAATAAAAGCAAAATAGTGCAATACTCTGATGGCAGGCTGGGCGTTTAATGTCTAATGATAAAACACGTCAAAGCAGAAGTCGATGTTTCAGCTAGCATTTCTAGTGAAACGTTCTCTGAACCGTCGTCGCTCTCCTGATCCACCTCCATCTCGTTCCCAACCTCCTACAGAAAGACTTGGCGCCTGGTAGCCTAGATCTACATGCTGATCACGTCACTCGCTGTAGTGCTTCCGGGTCCGATTTTTTGTCTTCCTTTTGGTTTTCCAAATTTTTTTTATACTCAGTAACGGATTGGATTTGTAATGTAATGAAATACAATACTTCACTCAAAACGTAATCAAGTAAAATTTAAATTACCGATTTTAAAAACTACTTGAAAAATACAAAATACACAAAATACAGTAACTTGATTAAATGTATTTAGTTTCTTTCCACCTCTGCCGGTCACACTTTCTAACAAGGAACCCGGAATAGAAAGGTTTCCCTCCTTAAGCCTGATTTATGCTCAGAAACCAGGTCGTCTGCATGTGTGTCGCAGTTAATGCAGACAGTGCCGCAGACAGGAGGCCTCTGATTGGTCAATTCTACATCCGCTCTACCATGCGTATTTCCTGTTTAGTACCCAACAGGAGAAACTCAGGCTGTAGCGCCGCTGTAGCTACCAGATCTGCTCAGGTCCTGCATGTCCGAGCCTGGTCCACACTTTCCTGTGTTCTTCTGAAGAACATACTTGAAAAACGGCCATAGTGCTAAAAGATTCATCTCAGAGGTGCCTTTTCAAGCTCCACAATGTATTGAATAAATACAAATATTTTAAATAACACTTTTAGATTTTTTAGCACAATAAAAGCATCCTCTTTAAAACCCCCCAAATTGTACTATAAATAAGAGTAATCAGAGTAAAGCAGATTGTTATGTACACCGCAGTAATTTATTGATTAAGCTGCATAACATCCTCCTTTTTGGTGCTATAGAAATGGTCACCCTAGTCCAGTACCAGACGTGGCTTCTGTCTACTGGCTTCTGCTCAGACGTAACAATGTGAGATTCAGATTACATTTTTTTAATCTCTGTAAATCAGAGAGGCATAAATCGGCTAAAAACAGGATCCTCAGCTCACCTGCTGCAGTATGTGGCCTTCTCTGAGCGTCATCAGCCTCTTGTGCAGCTCTACCAACTCATCCAGATACGCCTGGAAAAACAGCCGCATGGGGTGAGCTTCATAGCCACATGGTTTACACAATCAGGCAGAAAAAAAAACAAGACGAATAAAAGGGAAGAAGTTGTCCTGGACTGGCTGGAAACCAGCGCCTGTCCTCCACCGCTACAGGATAACAACAGCCGGCGAGAGATTCCCGAGCCCCGACTTTACCTTGTCACAGTCGATGTTTTCGTTCTTATCCTGCTTGCTCTGTTTGACGGGGCTCTTCACCTCCAGAATCTGTCAGAGGGCAGAGCAGAAACGTTTCAGAGCTGCACATCTCCTGGGTTAAAGCGTCTATAGAGCTGCGTGATGGTGTACCTGGTTACTGGTGGTCTTTATTAACGCCGGAGCCTCTTTGCGGGGGCGGGGTGAGGGGGAGGAGCCGTCACTCTCGCTGCCGTCACTTAAACTCACCCTAAGGGAATGGAAGACAAGCAGAACGTGCAGACGTGAGTCAAGAAAGCATCTAGAAAACATCCCACTGCTAAGATGAGCAACCTGAATGTGTAACGCCTTCATCAGATGTGACCCTAAAGCGGTTTGAACCGGGACTGGTTGACCTGAGGAGTATCTGAGCTCCGTCCTACAGGATAAAAATGAAATGAGTCCAGTTTCCTGATATACAGGCAGAAAAAACAGTAAAGAGGCTCCCAAATAGGTCTGCTGTTTCGCTAACCAGAGGTGTCAAAAGTATTAATGTTTATTACTCCAATAGAAGTATAAATCCTACTGTTTAAAAACACTTTTGTAGAAGGTAAGCGCATCAACTTAAGATTTTTACTCAAATAAAAATGTATAGACCAGGGGTAACCTGGTCCTGACCTATGATGCATGTTGCTGCAGCGACAGTCGTAGTTACATCAGAAAGATCTAATCCAGCTTTTATAGTCAACTGTAGTGTTTGCTCCACTAAGACCATAGATTGAGCCAATAATAGCCCTTCTCCACTGGCCTAAAAACCAGTTTAAACCCGGGAACAGCGGGCTTTTAGTGGCAGTGGGAACAGCTCACTGACGCTTGTCTATCCGGGTCAAACGACTCGGCAAGCGACCCGCGTTAAAATCGCCTCGGCTCTGATCGGCATGCTGTGGGAAGACCACAACCGGGTCGACCCGCTAATTTCCGAGATACAATTGAACGCAGCGTACGGACGTCAACACACAGCGCTAGACGCTTCTGATTTAACAAGCAGAAACAACTCGGTTTACATTCAATAAACATGGAGCAGCTCTGGTCAGAGGGATTCATTCAGATAATAGAGAGAAACAATAAAGCACACTGACTACGCCCTGGCTTCCTTCCATGTTCCTCTCCATTGTTTACGTCCCTGATTTCTGTCCCACTGTTGACATCAGCAATGCGTCACTAGACACGCAGCGGCGTGGGGGCAGAGACCATGCAGCTGCCAGCGAGGGGTTAGACGGGTAAGGGAACCAATGCTCATAGTTAGCGGGTCGTCCGATGTTGGAAAAAAACACGTTAACCTGCTATCTTCAGTGAGAAAGAGGCGTTAGGCCACACCCAGCAGGTGGAGGATGGGGGATGGAGGTAACCTTAGTCCAGTTGCAACTCCGCTTCACTGAGTCGACTTTTTGTTGAATGCACTTGTTACTAACCTGCGCTGGTGGTGCGGGAGCCGCGTCTGTGCCGGCCGCTCCGTGTCGGAGTCCTTGTCATCGACGTCCTCCGAGTCGTCATCATTGTCCTCAGACTGCAGGTCCTGCACCACAGACTGCAGCGGTCCGAGAACTGGACGTCAAACGGACAGGAAAACACAGAGAGAAGCTTTTCACTCATCTCATCATCGCTGATAAATAGAACAGCCTCCAAAAAAGTATTGAGTATTACTTAAATAGTTTGTGGAACTAATTAAAGTCTGGCTTTGGTCTCCAACATGGTCCCTCACAACCTTTCTTTAGTTTATTACACCAAAACCCTGTTAAAGTTTCTAGGTCAGGTTTAGATCTTTGAAAAGGATGTTGAACTTGGAAACCAGAAGATTATGGACACTGTTTAAGAAAAAAAAAAAAAGACAAAAAGGAAACCTCATCAGATATAAAACTAGAATCAACGTTACTTGTTTTAACCCCATTACGATTAGACCAGTTATTTCCACTATCTAAATGACGGAATAATTGAGGATCATTTTTCAAACACTGTCTTATTATAATTTCATATTAAAGCAAAGTCTATCACATTTGATACATGAGTTTTATTGACCTCTGCATCATAGTTGTGATGTCTTGAAAACCCTAACATACACAATCAGACACATGAAGTGAACAGAAAACGTATAAAAGATTATAGGGAAATGCCTAATGTATCAGAATTGATACAAATAATGGATCTAATTGAACTTCTCAAACTTTCTGACAAATGAAATAAAAAAAGACAATTTTGTATGACTACGACGGAGGCATAGGGCTAGGCTACAGATTTTATTTGATTTTTTTTTCAATTATGAAAATAAAGCCTTAACATAAAGTTGTAACATTACGAGAATAAAGCTGTAACATTACGAGAATAAAGCGGTAACATTACGAGCGGTAACATTACGAGAATAAAGCGGTAACATTACGAGCGGTAACATTACGAGAATAAAGCGGTAACATTACGAGAATAAAGCAGTAACATTACGAGAATAAAGCAGTAAAATTACGAGAATAAAGCAGTAACATTACGAGAACAAAGCCGTAACATTACTAAAATAAAGCTGTAACATTACGAGAATAAAGCGGTAACATTACGAGAATAAAGCGGTAACATTACGAGAATAAAGCGGTAACATTACGAGAATAAAGTGGTTACATTATGAGCATAAAGCGGTAACATTACGAGAATAAAGCAGTAACATTACGAGAATAAAGCAGTAACATTACGAGCGGTAACATTACGAGAATAAAGAGGTAACATTACGAGAATAAAGCAGTAACATTACGAGCATAAAGCGGTAACATTACGAGAATAAAGTGGTAACATTACGAGCGCTAACATTACGAGAATAAAAAGGTAACATTACGAGAATAAAGCAGTAACATTACGAGCATAAAGCGGTAACATTACGAGAATAAAGCGGTAACATTACGAGCGGTAACATTACGAGCATAAAGCGGTAACATTACGAGAATAAAGCAGTAACATTACGAGCGGTAACATTACGAGAATAAAGAGGTAACATTACGAGAATAAAGCAGTAACATTACGAGCGGTAACATTACGAGAATAAAGCGGTAACATTACGAGAATAAAGCAGTAACATTACGAGCATAAAGCGGTAACATTACGAGAATAAAGCGGTAACATTACGAGAATAAAGCAGTAACATTACGAGCGGTAACATTACGAGAATAAAGCAGTACAATTACGAGAATAAAGCAGTAACATTACGAGCGGTAACATTACGAGAATAAAGAGGTAACATTACGAGAATAAAGCAGTAACATTACGAGCGGTAACATTACGAGAATAAAGCGGTAACATTACGAGAATAAAGCAGTAACATTACGAGCATAAAGCGGTAACATTACGAGAATAAAGCGGTAACATTACGAGAATAAAGCAGTAACATTACGAGCGGTAACATTACGAGAATAAAGCAGTACAATTACGAGAATAAAGCAGTAACATTACGAGAATAAAGCAGTACAATTACGAGAATAAAGCGGTAACATTATGAGAATAAAGCAGTAACATTACGAGAATAAAGAGGTAACATTACGAGAATAAAGCTGTAACATTACGAGAATAAAGCGGTAACATTACGAGAATAAAGCGGTAACATTACGAGAATAAAGCAGTAACATTACGAGAATAAAGCTGTAACATTACGAGAATAAAGCGGTAACATTACGAGAATAAAGCGGTAACATTACGAGAATAAAGCGGTAACATTACGAGAATAAAGCGGTAACATTACGAGAATAAAGCTGTAACATTACGAGAATAAAGCTGTAACATTACGAGAATAAAGCCGTAACATTACGAGAATAAAGCTGTAACATTACGAGAATAAAGCAGTACAATTACGAGAATGAAGCAGTAACATTACGAGAACAAAGCCGTAACATTACGAGAATAAAGCTGTAACATTACGAGAATAAAGCGGTAACATTACGAGAATAAAGCGGTAACATTACGAGCATAAAGCGGTAACATTACGAGAATAAAGCGATAACATTACGAGAATAAAGCCGTAACATTACGAGAATAAAGCTGTAACATTACGAGAATAAAGCAGTACAATTACGAGAATGAAGCAGTAACATTATGAGAACAAAGCCGTAACATTACGAGAATAAAGCTGTAACATTACGAGAATAAAGCGGTAACATTACGAGAATAAAGCGGTAACATTACGAGCATAAAGCGGTAACATTACGAGAATAAAGCGATAACATTACGAGAATAAAGGGTTAACATTACGAGAATAAAGCAGTACAATTACGAGAATAAAGCGGTAACATTATGAGAATAAAGCAGTAACATTACAAGAATAAAGAGGTAACATTACGAAGATAAAGCTGTAACATTACGAGAATAAAGCGGTAACATTACGAGAATAAAGCAGTAACATTACGAGAATAAAGCTGTAACATTACGAGAATAAAGCTGTAACATTACGAGAATAAAGCGGTAACATTACGAGAATAAAGCGGTAACATTACGAGAATAAAGCTGTAACATTACGAGAATAAAGCCGTAACATTACGAGAATAAAGCCATAACATTACGAGAATAAAGCCGTACCATTACGAGAACAAAGCAGTACCATTACGAGAATAAAGCAGTAACATTATGAATATAAAGTAGTAGCATTACGAGAATAAATCAGTAACATTACGAGAATAAAGCAGTAACATTACGAGAATAAAGAAGTAACATTACGAGAATAAAGCCGTAACATTACGAGAATAAACTGTAACATTACGAGAATAAACCGTAACATTACGAGAATAAAGAAGTAACATTACGAGAATAAAGAAGTAACATTACGAGAATAAAGAAGTACCATTACGAGAATAAAGCCGTAACATTACAAGAATAAACCGTAACATTACGAGAATAAACCGTAACATTACGAGAATAAAGAAGTAACATTACGAGAAAAAAGCAGTAACTTTACGAGAATAAAGAAGTACCATTACGAGAATAAAGCCGTAACATTACAAGAATAAAGCCGTAACATTACGAGAATAAAGTCGTAAAATTATGAGAATTAAGTTTTAAAATAATGAAAACATTATACCCCAACCTGTTCAGAAAGATAGCTTTGAGAACCGATCAGCATTTAAAAAAAAAAAAATCTCCAGCCTGGCCCTTATACTCCGTCATAATGATAAATAATTTTTATCTTAAATGCAAAATGTTTACATATTTTAACAACTTTGGTATAGTTACTGCTCTAAGCGGGTCTCTCTGTCAGCTAAAGGCATGTCTTACAGTCTCAATACTACACATTAATCGATTTCTAAATCAGTTGACCATTATTTCAATAATCGATTAATCGTTTCAGCCCTAATTTATTCCAATAAAATATAACTTCCTGTATTTAAAGAATTTTTGAGAATAAGAACCTAACAGAAAGAACAAAAGAAAGTACTTGATAAATCACATTCAAATCTAATTTAACGATGGCTTATCACCAGGACGGGGAAACTTATTCCTACATTATCCTAAACCTCTGGACTGACCCATACATTATATTTAAAATGTTTAAATTGAGAGCAGGTGGAACCAAAGCTAATTTCTTTGTTTCGATGCATGGATGTATTTTACTGTGAGGAAAATATGTAAACTAAGTTTTAAATGGGGAATAAGTTGCAGATGTCGGTGGATCGGCACCAGATGAATAAAGTGGACCAAGATGCAGAAGGTTTTAGTGTAACCTTCTGTGAACGGCAGGAACAGGCAACTTACCTTGACGTTTGTGGTGTGTGGGAGTAAAGCCGGAGCTGGAGCTGGAGCTGGCAGGACTGGGCTGTTCAGACTGAGAACAAGGAAAGAAACAACTTTTAGACAGAAAAAATATAACAATAAACACATTGAACAAGAAAATAGGTTAAGGCTCTACTTGCAGCTTTTAAACTGGAAGACTTATAGTGTTCTTCTTATGGACTGGCTAAGTGTAAACATGAGAAACTCCAGTGTCTCTGTGACGCTAACTATATAGAAACCTGCTTCATTTATTGATCCCAGTTTCTAATGAACCGAGGGCCCAATTCACAACACAGATAATCGCAAGACACTTTATAGAGACAAATCAACCAGATCATCCAGTCAGATTGAATCAAAGTTTTCTATCAAAGGAAAACCAGTTGATTGCATCGACTCATTGACTCGAAGGTAATCCATCACACCAAGTCAGGACATCCCTATCAAACACAGAGCAGAACCAGAACCGAACTGTCCCCTAACTGCAGGAACGGACAGTTCAGCTTTGCTCTGCTGATCATAACCTCTCCAAACTGCAGATTGGTGCTGCTCAGGTGTCACTTCTAGTTCTACGCTCACCAGAGTCTGTTCACATCTGTTTTCACACCATCATATGATCAGGTTGTTGATCAAAACCGGGCCTGATCCCTGTGAGTCTGTCCAGGGGTGGATTTAGGAAAACAGAGCCATTCTCCAGATAGAGAAATGTTAATAGAATAGACATCCATTATCTGTTCTAGGTTGTGTCCCTCTCTTCTTGTTTTCCTCTCTATGTTTTGTACTCAGCTGACTTTTCATGCTGTCTCTAAAGGAATGAAAGATTTTTTCCAAGCACTAAGCTCACTTAGCTGATTGCTCCTTCCTGTGTTTCCAAAAAGGCCAAAGTAAATAACCCAGTCCTTCTTTTCACTGTAGACAAGCCATGATCTGCTTATCTGTTCTCCGTTTTTCATTTGGATGAAATAATAGCTGCATGAATCATGACAGCAGACAAGATAGAGGAGAGCAGGAGGCGGGGTTACCAATCTACTTGCTCTGGAGAGCAGAGTTCGCTGCTTTTAGATGTTGTCTCCAAAGTCTCCAGTAGCAAAAAAAAGTCTCTAGATTTGGCGCTAGGAGCTTTTTAGAAATCAGAGTGCTAGAGGGGTCTGAAAAGTCGCTAAAGATAGCGACTAAAGCGCTAAGTTGGCAACACTGCTCTTTGCGTCGTTTGTTTTCAAATGGTTTGCTGCTGTCTGTTTGGACCTTTCTGAACATGTGCAGCAAATGGACTGATCCAGTATTGTCTAATGATAGTAGTATTGCCTAATTAGGCAATACTAGCCCTGGCTGCTGCAGATGGGCTAACGTTAGCCCTGGCTGCTGCAGACGGGCTAACGTTAGCCCTGGCTGCTGCAGACGGGCTAACGTTAGCCATGGCTGCTGCAGACGGTCCAACGTTAGCCATGGCTGCTGCAGACGGTCCAACGTTAGCCCTGGCTGCTGCAGACGGGCTAACGTTAGCCATGGCTGCTGCAGACGGTCCAACGTTAGCCCTGGCTGCTGCAGACGGGCTAAAATTTGCCCTGGCTGTTGCAGACGGGCTAACGTTAGCCCTGGCTGCTGGAGACGGGCTAACGTTATCCCTGGCTGCGGGAGACGGGCTAACGTTAGCCCTGGCTGCTGGAGACGGGCTAACGTTAGCCCTGGCTGCTGGAGACGGGCTAACGTTATCCCTGGCTGCGGGAGACGGGCTAACGTTAGCCCTGGCTGCTGGAGACGGGCTAACGTTAGCCCTGGCTGCTGGAGACGGGCTAACGTTATCCCTGGCTGCGGGAGACGGGCTAACGTTAGCCCTGGCTCAGAGGTTCGCTGGTTGCCGCGGTTCTCTCAACTTCGGAATTTTGTTTTAAATTACCCACTAAGTCAATAAATGAGCCATATAGTGAAGCTATAATGTTCTCGCCTTAAATGATCTTAAAACGTACTTTTATAGAATGACGGCAACAGAAAAGAGAACTTTTAACTTAATACTCTGAGCTCTGTGAGCGCTAACCTGGAAGCTGCTGCTGCCCCAGTGCATGCTGGGACAGCTGTCAATCTCAAGAATGGACAAGTCTGCTGTGATGCATGCTGGGTAAAGAGGGAGGGGCCAGAACAACATCCGGGGACTTTGTCCGTTCTCAGTCTGCTGTTCTTGTGAATTGGAATAGTATTAGGGCTGAGGATGGTGACGGAATATTAAAAAACGGCCATTTTCTTTGTGGTTGGACTCAATGCTGCCCCAACTTTTTGTCCACAACTTACCAAAATAATTTTTCAAGATGATGCAAAGTTAAATTTGACACTGTAACCATAAGTTATAAAACTAAGAACTAAGGAACTAAACTAAGGAAGTTATCATCCAGAATTGGACAAAAATGTTCCTTTAATAGGGTAGAGCAGTAAAGCTTCTGACCTAAACATTTTTTCCTGTATTACTTTGACATTTATAATTTTAGTAGTTTTAAAATGCTACTTTAACACTTTTACTGTAGTAAAGAGCTGAAGTTGATCCTCTAACATCTACAAAAGTCTTTTTAAACAGTAGGATTTCTCATCCTCAGACCAGATTTAGATCCCAGAGATCAAACCTGAACTCAGCGTCAGTATAAACCTGAGCTGTCCCAGAAGAGAAAGTGCTGAACAGCGACCTCCAGCTGACAGATGAGAGGACCGGAGCAGCGTGAGGACAAAAGGCTTCAGCGGCTGTCACCTCCTGCCAACAAGCAACACACAGCTGGCCTGTTGGATTATGGGACAGCTTCTTCAGCGCGCCGTAAATCTTAGTACCACTCCTTTTTAGGGCTTCTGTCCTGCTGCGCTCCGGCCCATTGAAGCGGCTCTCTTAACTGGCTATAAATAGTGCCATGAAAGTTTGCAGAGTTCAGTCCGGCCTTTCTTCTCAACTATGCAACAATTTGGACAGTTGAATAGAGAGAAATGCTAACGTATATGTATATCTCTATAGATGCACCGATCCACTTTTCATCATTTCCCATACTCTAATCCGGATACCTGCTGATCCTGACAGCCGTTTATCTTTAATGTTCTCATCATTACTTTTGATTTATTGAGAGACCGTCAAACATAAAGTGTGGTACAAATAAATCCCAAAAGGAAACTTCATAAGGTCAGAAAAGGAAGTCATAGAAACAGTAAATCAGGTTAACAGGACTAAAAACAAACAGATCAACAGTAAAGGCTCAAACTGACTGGATTTAATGAATCAAAGACAGATGATCAAAGGGAAACTTCCTGCTGTCCAAGTGCTTTTTTTTTATTTATTTTTGTTTAGCAAACTGAAACTAATTATAGAAACAGACTGAATAGATCCGATCTAGAATTTTCTCCAATATCGGAACAGATACCGATGTCAAGATCGGATCTGTGTATCGCAGACGGACGGATCTTTTCAGTTTAAGGTTTTTCTTCAATCAAAGATTTTTTGCTTCAATTCTTTTTTCCCCCCGAAATTTATTTTATTTTCTATTTGTATTCAAATGTTAAAATATCTCACTTTCAAAAAGCACTTATCAGTTTCAGATTTTTTTGTAAGATTCAAAATAATTTTTTTCTCCATTTCAAAAGAAAAAAAACAACATTTTTTTTTAAAAAACTTTATTGCCCCGTTTTAGCACAACAGACTTTAGGCTAACATGCATTCCAGTTCATAAAAATATTTACACCCTAGAGAGAAATATTTACGTGCTTGTTCTTGTTGCAAAGGAATAAATCACCATATTGTTTGAAATGAAAAAAAGGTGGTCATACTGATGTTTTTAGTTAATTTGGGTCTTTATAAACCGTTTCGCAGAGATGGCAAAAGTACTTACTTTCCGTACTTGAGTAAAAGTACAGATACTTGTGTTAAAAAATACTCTGGTAAAAGTGGAAGTAATGATTAAACTTCTTTACTCAAGTAAAAGTAACAAAGTACAGGCTTATAAATTTACTTAAAGTATAAAAGTAAAAGTAGAAACCACTTTTTTCATGCCGTTGCCTACATTTTAAATGGATGTCTGCCAATAGGACTAAAACATATTTATATATATATATATATATATATATATATATATATATATATATATATATATATATATATATATATATATATATATATATATATGACTGACAGAGACTGGGACTCCAGCTTAATAAGATTCTGACTCATTAGCAAGATATAAATTCAATTGTGATTTTGTGAGAATTCACAGACCCAGTTTCTCTTTTTTAATCTTGTCATTAACATTTGGAATCTGCATGTATGTGTGCATGCTCAAACATGGCAACAAAACAAGAAAAAATAGGATAATATATGACTTACTTAACAGTTATTAACGAAGTTCCCCATACTTTTAGAGTTGCAACTAACAGATGGCAGCAGCGTATACGAAATGAACTGACAGCTAGTAAAGCTTTGAACATAGAGTGCTAATAAAGGGTAATGTCCATTTTTACAATTTAAGTGCTATAAAAGTTGTAGAAATTACAAATTCAATGTGTATTGTATTACTTTTTTTTTATTAATATGAAAAATAGACAATAGCCAAAGAAGCTGGCCAACCACCTTAATCAAACTAAACAAAAACTATATCACATTGGTGAAAAGTCTGGAACAAAAAAGGCTTTTCATTGAGAGCAGGAGCTCAAAGTTAAAGAAAAATCTGAGCGAGAGAACGCAAGTGATCAAATGTACAGTATAGCTCAAGGTCTGTGTGTGCTTGATGTTGGGTGAACATCCAAGTCCCAAAACATGTGGAAAAACTTCTAAGGCAACATAACAAACAGAATCTTTTTTTAGCATCTGTGTTAGTGTGTGTGTGTGGGTATCAGTGTAAATGTGTGTTTGCATGATACAGAGAAAGAATCCCAAACTACCAGAAATCTCTGTTTAGCTTCAAAAGAAGCTGGTTCTCAAAGTTCATGGCATCAACACGGGCCCTTTTTGGTGTAAAAATCAGGCCTGCAGTGCTGAACAGTCTCTCGCAGGCAGCAGAGGCAGGTAATGCCGTGTTAAGCCTCAATGACAGGTGG